GGCGGAACTTCAATCGAATACAGCTTGGTACAACATTCCAACATTCGGTTTGAAAGACGAGTGATGGACATTGGTATCCTCAAGTGCCGAAAGTTGCATCCGCAAAAGGCAAATGGGCCCACATAAACCAGAGTATTATCGGGGAGTTTGGGAGGATGAAGTTTGGGACAATTTCCAAAGGCCCAGGCTTCAATGCGTTCCAGGCCATGGGGAAAGCTCACATGCTTCAAATGAGGACAATCCCAAAAGGCTTCTACACCAATTACTTTCAGTTGACCCCTTTCATTATTTTTGACTACATTGCCGGTTATAGTGTCAGAACAACCAGAGTCTTTCGCACAAAGAGTCGTCGTCGTCGTCGTCGTCGTCGTCACCTGGGCCAACTTGCGAAGGCCCGAAAAGGTACCTTTGGGAATCTCCACCACGGAAGAATCCAATGCAAGGTCAGTCATCCATTCATTTCTCAATGCTGTTGTAGTATTAGTAGCAGTATTTGAAGTTGTATTGTTTCCTACATAATAAAAGGTTCTCGGTGCCATGGTCCCATCTTCGAGACCACTGCCCTGTCTACGATACAAAGTACACGTACTTGTAATTAATATCGATGTGATGTTTGATCGGCAAGACGGGAGACGTATGGGCGTTTCTAGCTCTTCCTTAGTCTCAATTTCCGTCGTGTCGATTACGGCGCGTAACAATGATTTGGCGCATGAGAATATGCCTCATCGAGTCGACCCCTATACAATTGAGATGCATACCACCTTGGTGGCTCTGAATACCACTACAACCGCACATATGGATGGTTTACACCGTGCTATGGAAGATTGGTTTAACCTGAGTACCTATTTAGGTTTTCGCCTTCGCGAATTGGCCCAGGAGGATGATTACCGTTGCTTGGCTTCCGGTGGCGAGATTGCCCAGAATGGTACGAAACGCGCTTTCACCCTCGATGACATTTGTTGTTGGACTCGGAAAACCGTCCTGTTTCGATTGCTGAGTTTATCGAGAATTTTGATGCCGTGGCCCGCTCCAATGTCAAGTTCTCATGGCAAAAGAACCATGATCACGGTGAGGAAAAACTGCTTTCCAGCAATCTTCGTCACCCTTCCCGTGACGCTCTGCGGAGTCTCCATAACATTGTCAGCCGATTTGCACGGATTGTCGGTCTGGATAAGACCGATATCCCACTTGCAGTGTACAAAGGATCCTTTGGTGAAAAGTTTTTCATCCACAGCAAAGTCCTTGCTTCCACCCTTCGGACCTTGGCCAAGAAGCCTTACAACCTGACTGATCGCGATCTTCAGCGACATTACAAATATACGTCCCACTCTCTTCGAGCTGGGACGGCAGTGATCCTTCACGCTGCGGGTATCCACGCTATCCAGATCAAATTTCTCTTGCGCTGGCGCTCTAATTCTTTTTTCCTTTACCTTCGCAATGTCGCACACCTTTCGGAGCAACAAAACCGGGCAATTAACCAACTTGCCTCGGCTACTCAGTCTGAAGTGACTGCAGCTTGTGCTGCTTCTCGACTCATACCAAACATTGTTTAGACACACAACCCCATCTACTACTCTCCTCCTATTCTCCTTTCTTCCTTTCTCCTCCCTTCTCCGTTTTCCCTTTCCACTTTGTCTTTCTCCCTTTCTTTCCTTTCCCTCCTTTCGCTTGCTTTCTCGGGCACTTCCCTTCCTCCACCTTTATTCTTTCCCTTATGATCGAACGCCCAGCTTTCGATCCTGGGAATTTTCTCTTCTTTTTTCAATTTTCTTTTTCTTTCTTTTGTTTTTTTTGCAATTTTGATTTTTGATTTTGATTTTTTATTTTGATTTTTTATTTTGATTTTTTATTTTTCCCACGCCTGCGCTCGCATGTTTGTGGCCTTTGTCTTCCGCTTTCCCGGAAAGCGATCGCACCCGTAGTTTGGTGGCTCTCTCATTTGCACCATAGCTCGGTACCCCATTTGGTCC